GCGAGCTGCACTGGCTCCCGGTGGTCTTCCGGGTGCGCTTCAAGGTGTTGGTTATCACCTTTAAAGCGCTCCATGGCATAGGGCCTAGCTATCTCTGAGACCGCCTGCTGCTACCGACGACCTCCCATCGACCCGTGCGCTCCCACAGAGAGGGCCTCCTCAGGGTGCCATCAGCCAAACAATGTAGGCTGGTGACCCCCAAGGGGAGGGCCTTCTCTGTGGGGGCACCTACCCTCTGGAATCAGCTGCCCCCAGAGATAAGAAGAATCCATGACCTCAATGCCTTCCGTCGTTCCCTGAAAACCTATCTTTTTCAGCAAGCCGGGTTGGCTTAGAAGAAATTTTTAGATTCTTTTAATTAGTTTGTGATTCTTAACTTTCGGGCCGAAATTTATATATATTTTTAAATGTTTTAATATTTGTATTCTATGTTTTTTATCTTGGCTGTACACCGCCCTGAGTCCTCAGGGAGAAGGGCGGTATATAAATTGGAAATTAAATTAAATTAAAATTAAAAATGTGATAGAATTTCAATCAGCACTTTCCTCATAAGTTACCTCAGAAAGTTTAGCTTTGTATCTTTAGGATCACACATTCAAGCAATATCATTTAAAAGCAGACATGTGTGCTTTTAAATAATAGTTTAAGAACTTTTTAACATCTGAAGATAATATCCTAAGCCTTCTAAGTTCCAGAATAATTGTCTCAAATTTGTTTAGGACTAACAACTCTCATCAGCCAACAGACACATCTGGAGAGCACCAGTTTAGGAAAACATACTCTGGAAAAATTATTCTGAAGGATTTAAAGTTGCCTGAATTCTTCATCAGCAATTATTTTCTTTGTCAGTTATACAAGCTGACAAGCTAAGGAACAAACAACTTCTGGATTTGAAGTAAGCATTGTCTACATCAGTTTATACCAGTTTATATCAGTTTAGATATAAGTTTATACTTTCTAGAATATTATCTGAACATATTTTTGTAAATCATCCAAAGCCAGTAGGATTGGGTGGTATAGAAAGTTGTAAGTAAAAGGAAACTTTCACAACATTTTGTTCAGAGATCAGCAGAGGAGCTGACACTTGAACTGTCATTTTGCATCTGACAGGAACTGAAACTGAGTTTATCAAAGATACCAAAAGCAGACAGTTTGAAACAATTACCCTGTTAACTCATAAACATTTGGAAATTTTCTAGAAACCTATCACTCTTTTATTCACAAACAACCAATCTGTTCTCTTCTTCTTCTTCTTCTTCTTCTTCTTTTGTCTTCCTTTTTTAGACTGGTCCATAATAGCAGAGCTCTTCGGGATTTGCAGACTATGCTATAATTTGCTGCCATTTTTTTTCACTCTGTCATTGCCTCCTCATAATTATAGTCCCCTCAACAGTATCTTTGGATGCTTTAAAGCATTGCCAGCTGGATTTGCACTTATACAAAGTTGTGAAAGGAACACAGGATGTTCCAATCTATTGAGTCATACAGTCAGTCTGCCTAGCTCAGTATTGTCAGTACTGACAAACAGTAGCTTTCCCCCTTTCAGGAAGGAAACTTTTCTAGACTAACCAAGAGATGTTAAAGATTAAACTTGGGACCTTTGACATACAAAGCATGAACTACCATTGAGATTCAATCTCTGTCATATGTAGAACTTGTCACAATTTGTGAACAATTAAATTTCTTTCGGGAAAGAATACTGATCTTCTACCAAATGTCACAATTTTTTTAATCCTTTGCAATTTAAGTGAGAACTGCTTGTATTTCTAAAGTTTAGCTCTCTCTGTTAATTAATCAAAGGGAAACTTGAACAAGATTTAACTGAAAGTATCCAGGTATCTCGAACACAGGATGTGCTTTTTAACCATAAACTTTCCATCAGACAGGATGCTGAGAAGCAATAGTGGGAAAGTTTACCCGTATTATATTCTTCCTTTGTAATTTTCTATGGTGGGATACATAAGGAAAATGATTTTGAATTAACCATGTAATATTCATAAATATAAATACACTTTACAGATAGTCTTATATATATATATATATATATATATATACGTATATAAAGACTAAATATTCTACTATAATGAAATTAAACATTCTCAGTGATTAATCATTTATTAATCTTTTTTGAAAATCAAACCACGCAAAACTGCAATAGACCTTTTTTATGTACAACACCTGTTATTTCTGATCATTAGCCATACTGGATAGAGCTGGTTAGAGTTACAATCCAAACTGCCTGGTGAGCATTATGCTACCTCCCGCAAACTATTTAGATCAGGGTGAGCAATTATTTCATTATTCTTTCTGTTGGACTTCTAACTAAAGCTTTAAAAATATTGTGCCTCTAAAATAAGGATACGAACTATTGTGGCAGTCTTCATAGTGAAGCAACATTAAAGTTCATAAAAATACTCTAATGTAGTTTTAAAATGCACCACAACTTCGCTAATTAAAGGGTTACATTTGTAATTCTATTTTCTTAATTTTGAAATTTTCTCTATGTGTATGAAGTGAAGTTCAGAATATCTAGTAACAACCCTTAGCACAAAATATTACATAACCTTATGTTATTTTACACAAAATAGAAGTGATCTATGGCAGAAACAATTTGAATGTTGCGGAGAGCCCACCAGCTTGTGGCAAGTCAAGGGGGAGCGAAGCTGCCCAGACTGAAGGCTGCAAGAGGAAAGTGCGGGAAACAAAGCTGCCACGACTATTTCCGAATAAACAGGAACCGCGCCAGGCTATGGAAGGCTAGCATGGTCCAGCGGCTCTGCCACAGTTCCGTGCCTCAGCGCCCAGGCACTAACTGTAACAAGCAGCAAAAAATGGCCCACACCCAGGCTGCAAGAGGCTGGCGCGGCCGCAAAGCTCTGTAAAATCACCAGCAGCAAAGAGCGAGCCCGCCCTACAGCTGACTGGCACAAGAACAAAGGGACCAAGGGAAAACCGCACCAAGGCTCACAGAGGCTGGTGTGGCTCCGGCGACTCTAAACTCGGCACTCCGGAAAAACGGAGGCCAGCCGCAAGCACTGGGGCTAACGCCCCGCAAAGCAACACCCCAAACAGACAGACAAATTACCTGTGGGGAATGGAGAGGGTGGGAGGCGCTGGAGAGGGCCACTCCCCCAGCTCCAATCCGTAGCCATGGAGAGCCCTCTCCAGCTGCAAACAAATCCAAAGTCAAAAAGAAATAAAGTCAAAATCCTTATAAAGGAAAAAGAAAAACAAAAAATAAAAAAAATTTCCAGGGAATTATTCCACTCAGCTCAGAAGCTCTGGAGCGAAGGAAAATGCATCCATAAGCTAAGACTGAGTTGAAAAAACTGGGGAACCTCACCAGGGAGGCGGAACCTCAAAAGATTCAACTCAGTCCATAGACCTAGAGTATAGAATAACCCAGCCTGGCACCTCCCATTACCACACTATGGAGAACTCACTTAATTGTCTTGCTTAGCAATCAACATTTTGAGCTCAATTGTTGTTGTAAGTCGAGGACTATGTATACCATGTTAAACAGGAACAGACTTGGGGAATATATATTTTGCTTAACAGTCAGAAATGTCTCTAATCATACAGAATGCTTTATAGATTCTAAATATGGAAAAAATATTTTGATCTATTCTGCAATTTTCAGTCATTTTCTTTAAGATCCATTTCACGTGGTTTCTATCTGACACAGCATAATCTTAGCTATATCAACTCCCACTGATAATTTTGACTTGTTGCAAGTTATTAGCATAAGCATATATGCCATATATAAGCTCTCTGTACATATTTCAGAAGGTTTTCTTTTCCTAATCAGCTAGGTCAAAACAGAATGCAGACCTGAAGGAAGCATATAAAGATTGGAAATGTCTTAAGGCAAACATCCTATTATATAGAAGACATTTGCAGATGAGATCTTCTCATAACAATCCTTGACATAAGCATTATAACAGACATTCCAAAATTTCAGTGGGACAGTTTAGGATGAGTTGGATTAATGTCCACTTCGTTATTTTTAATTGCTAGGATTCAGATTCATTTAAGAAGCTTTAGTCTGTATTGAAATCAATGTCTCATCAGCTTCATTGGAATTTAACACAGTAATCCAATAGTCTGGATTGGAACCTTAGAAAATCAGATCACTGAGTTAACTCCGCAAGATGACAAACTCAACCGACCTACCACTTCTAATTTCTGCCAACAGAAACAGCTAAATCATTAAACTATAACAATAGTGCTAGAAGAATGTGTCTAAATTTCCTTTGATAGATTATTATGGTATCTACTAGAATTTCACTAAATCGAGCTGTGAAAAAACGACTGCAACCCTGAAAGATATTTATTTCTTTTTATTGTAGGGTTCCCAAAAACCTTGTAACAAAAAAACAGAAACAAACCACATCCAACTTACTGATTTAAATTGTCAAATTCACCCACATATGAAAAAAAATTGGTCTGACTAGAGTTACATTGTATGACCACTACGTTTTTCCAAATAACCTCTGTTGGAGTCTAAAGAGTCACCACTTACTGTTGCTCATAATTTCCCAAGCTTTTCTGACCAAAAAGTAAAGGTTAAAAGCTTTAACTGAGAAAAGTTTGAGAGGCTCCTTGATGAGACATAACTTGCACAATTCCAGTTTTTCAACAGCAGGCATATTAAATTTAACAAAATTGATATAAAACTTATGAATTTTATCTTTTAAATAAAAAACAACATGCAGCTATACAAGGTAATCTAGCATTTGATACTTGAAAAACAAATTCACCACGTAATATTCTGGAAATCTATATAAAACTTTATATCCTCTATCATGTTTCATGCCTAGCACTGAATGAAAACTAACTGAAATATTTAATAATACTTCTCCAGTTGGATATTAATCTGATTCTCCTCATCAGAAGGATATCAATAAAAGCATCTGTTGATATACAACTGTAATAAACTTTAAGAGTGCAATGCAAAAATGCATCAGAAGATTATATTTCAGAACAAACAAAATCCTTACCTGTGAAAGCGTTTGTGGCCTGAAAACCAGCTTCCTGCATACTGCTCTTCCACTAAAGCTTGTGACTCCAATCTTAACCTTTCCTTTCCAGAGGCAGTTTATGCAGTTGGAGGGATCAAGTTACTTCCATCTTCACATGTGAGTGTCCATTTTTTTTATCCCAATCCAGCATTTAACATCCCTCGGTTCCCACCTGTTCTCAGGTCCTTTAAGACCTAGGGAAAATAGGATGTGTCTCAAATTCAAATGGCAAGTGCAGGTGAAGTGCCTCAACCGTCCTGACAAAGAATTATAGCCATTGTATTTGTGAAGAAGATAGCAGCCATTTCATGCATAAAAAGAAGTTCAACATTTAGTCTAAGTCTCTGCTTGGAGGACATCATAGGGTTCTATCGCTTGTTTGTGTGCGCATTTTGCTTAGAGTCAGCCAGAGATATTCTTCACTCCTTTTCTGGTGATCACTTTGAGCTTCACCGTTCACTTGTGCAGGCTAAGAAATTGAAAAGAAAGATGTTTTAAGATGAATTATGGCAAGATCTACAACATTCAAGGAATGAAAGCATGCATGTACAAACACACACACACACACACACACACACACAGAGAGAGAGAGAGAGAGAGAGAGAGAGAGAGAGAGAGAGAGCCCCATTTAGCAGGAACTGATTATACACATTAAAAGGGATTTGTTAGAATTTTGTTGAGATCTAAGTATGATTGCATATGCCTTTGAAATGCAAAGACAGTCTTGAATGATGTCAATAATGCATTTTAGAACATGATATGATTTACATTTCAAAAGCCGTATTTAGTAAAATGGGGCAGCTGCACAATAACAAAATTGCAGTTAATAGGAAAAAGTAAAAAAATCAAGACCTTCAGTTCTAAGATGTAATTATCATTTTATCAGATCTTATTCTCACTTTATGAAAGCATTAAAAAGCAGGAAGTTGGATATGACATTGTGCTTTCAACATTTACCTTTTGAGATAAAACCTTAGACTATGTACATATAACATAGCTGAGAATTCAAATATTTTCCTAAAAGATCAATTCAAAACCAACTATCAAAAACAATATTAAATAACAGTAAAGATATTCACTATGAATATTTTTGCTAACTAAGATTTTTTTAAAAAAAATGTGGACATGACAGAATGGATAACATCACCATCATCTTGTGTTATAATATTACTATTTTATAGTACATCTCAGCTTAACAACTGCAATGTACTCTGTATGGGCTATCCTTCAAGACCACTTGAAAGCTTCAACCGATCCAGAATTTAGTGGAATGGACAAGGAGGGGCATATCTTGGTAGTCCTATATGACGCATTTGCAAGGCATTATGCCTGGTCATTTGAGGGACACCTTATCTTCCCCAGAATCAGCCCATTTCACTTGAATAACAGAGTGACCGAATAAAAAAGTTGGAAGGGACCTTGGAGATCAGATCTCCTAGTCCAACCCCCTGCTCAAGCAGGAGACCTATACCATTTCAGACTAATCTTCGATTGTCCTATCTCTTTTTTAAAAACTCCAGTATTGGAGCATCAACAACTTCTGGAAGCATTCCACTGATTAATTGTTCTAAGTGTTGGGAAATTTCTCCTTAGTTCTAGGTTGGTTCTCTTCTTGATTAATTTCTATCCATTGTTTCTTGTCTTGCCCTCAGGTGCTTTGGAGAACGGGTTGACCCTCTCCTGTTTATGGTAGCCCTTAATTATTGAGAGGTAGTCCAGACAGGTTGCATGCCCAGGTGAACTAATTGTACTTTATTATAAGATTATATTAACAGGGTAAATTTGAAAGTACATTTCTCCCTCATCACCTTTAAAGCCCAAGAAACTAGGAAGAATTCCTTCTGAGAAGTTTGCCACACTCACATTCCTTTTGAGGTCTAAGCTGCCTCTTGACTGTTCCCCTGGCTGTGGCTCTTCCCCTTGTCTCCCAAGTTCACTACCAGATACCATTACAGTCCAATTGGTTCAATCCCACACTCTTTCATATATCAATGTTACCTATCAGAACCCCAGAAGCATGTCTTCTCTGTAACACCCCTGTCATATCGAATGATACTCCCAAAATACACCACTTCCACCTTCTGATATTTCAGAAAACCTGTTCTTAAACTATGGATTTGAGGTAGCTAGGATCCCTCCTAGACTGTGCATGGATGCAGTTAACCAAATAAGCTATTGATTTTTGTTGTTTATTCTTTTAAATTTTTAATAATTATTGTTTCCTGATTTTTTGTTGTTGGTTTAATTGTGCACTACTCAAACCCGGTTGGAGTCAGGCGATGCCAAAATTGAACGAGTTAAATATTAATTTTTAAATTATATAACATTATAGCTAGGTTACTAAAATCCAGTAACAATAAACAAGCAATATATGTGGTGAATCATTTGGTCAAATCTGCCTGGATTCAATACAGAAAGTAACAATGGATCTAGTTAAGCAAAATAAAGGAAAATCACTTAAAGTGGCCATGCATGCACAATCACTAGGAAACAAGTAGCTTTCAAAGCAATCATGTCAGTCTAGAGAAAAGATGCATTGTGCAAACTTTGTACATTCCAAAACATATCTAAGGATTTGCATAGCTTTATTTCATATGACTAGTAAATAATGGTGGTTATCTAAGTTTCCCCAATCTTCTGCACTGGTGGCTTCTTAGGACTAAAATTCTCAAGATTTGTAACCTCACTGGAGAAGATCAATTTCTGGACAGCTCTGAATATTTTGGTGCTTCTCTGGACAATCTACCTAGTAAATATAAGCGTACTTTCCATCTGACATGCAATTCTTCTCTTGAGCTACTATTTTTATTTTTAAGTGTATCACATTTCCTCAGCACTTACAACATAATAGTTTGAATGTGAGAAAATAAAAGTCTTCCTCTCAACAGTAAATTCACTTGCTATTATAACTGCTGTGAAAAGTGTATTGATTTGCAGATGTACTGCCAAGATGCTTTAGTACATTTTAGGAATCAAAACTTGGAAGCAGACTTTGGTTTTATAAACACTGACCAAGAAATAAATAATCCTCAGCCAACAACACCCAGGAATGACATTTATTTCAAAAAAAAAAATTGACTGAAACCTCTAGACTGAAACTGTCACTATCAGAAACAACAAACAAGAATGCTGATGTGCCACTATGTGATCCAACCTAGCAAAAATTGCTGATTGTTGGAAAGGAACCATCTTTAGCCTGAAACCAAATGTAAACAAGTAATTTTCCTCCAGCCCTTTCTTCAGATTCCAATTGAAGTCAGAATCTTAACTTGAAAGTGTTGAGAGAAAAGTAAAGATACATGCCAGTATAAAACCTTGCTTCCTGGTGGAGAAAATAAACTTTATACTTTATAATGAGATTTTGTAACATTTTAATAGCAGGTAAAACAATATTTTAATCCCCAGGGGCTCAACTAAAATGAATTTGCTAAATTCAGAACACAAAAAAATGCAAAGCAGATCCTCATTCCAGGCTGAGGCAAGAAGAAGGACGGGGGGGGGGGAATGATTTAAGGCCCTTGATATTTAAAACATTTATTGAGGATAAACTCTCAGAGAATGGGAGTTGGTCTTACCTGATACGCCCTTTCTGTGATAGGTGGGCACGGCAGTCATGCCTGGGGAGTGACACTGCCTTGCTCCAATGAGACCGAGTCTGCTGTAAAGTTTTTAAGTCCCGCCTCTTCCTGTGTAGTCCAGTTTTGAGACGAGGTAGATCAGCAGACTGTCGTGTCTGGAAAATTAGAACATACATGAGATTGCCACCCACCCCCATGTCCGGGAACAGCCCAACAGGGAGGGGCTGACTGCCGTGCCCACCTATCACAGAAAGGGCATATCAGGTAAGACCAATGCCCATTCTCATGACAGTGGGCACGGCAGTCATGCCTGGGACATACCAAAGCCAATGTCCTATAGGGTGGGATCAGGCTGGACCCGGGAAGCAGTCTCCAGATGTACTCCTTGCAACACTCTTCTTCCAAATGCCGCATCAGCCGAGGCATAGGTATCAAACCGGTAATGCCGGATGAACGGAGTAGGAGAGGACCAGGTGGCCGCCCTGCAAACTTCCTCCAGGGAGGCCCTGGTGGACCAGGCCGCTGATATGGCTGCACTCCTTGTGGAGTGTGCCATAATATTCCAACCAGCAAGGCCTGGACTGAATACGCCATAGCTATGGTAGCCCTGATCCACCGGCCAATGGCCGAAGAAGACAGCTTGGTGCCCATGGACGAAGGCTGGAAGGCGACAAACAGAGCTTCCATGCGATGGAAAGAAGATGGGGGGGCAATGTAGATCTTAAGGGCTCTGCAAACGTCTAGAGTGTGCCATGTCTGTTCTAGTTGGTGCTGAGGAGAAGGGCAGAAATTGGGAAGAACAAGCTCCTGAGATCTGTGAAAGACAGAGTTAATCTTGGGAATAAATGCCGAATCCAGACTCAGGACCACCTTGTCCACATGAAAAATACACAGATCTTGTCTGACCGACAGGGCCGCCAACTCTGAAATCTGGCGGGCTGAAGTTATGGCCACCAGGAAAGAGACCTTGAAAGACAGAAATTTGAGGTTCACCTCCCGAAGAGGTTCAAAGGGGTGCCTAGTGAGTGCTGAAAATACCTTGGTAAGGTCCCAAGTAGGGAACCTGTGTATGACTGGAGGCCTGAGGTTTGTAGCTCCACGTAAAAAACTGCGAATCAAAGGATCTTTACACAGCGATAGAGCTGATGAGTAAGACAGAATAGATGAAATCGCTGATACCTGGTGTCGTAGAGTATTCGGAGAGAGACCTGAAGAGAAACCGTCTTGTAGGAAACCAAGGATCTGAACTACTGATGCTGACGTGGGAATGATACTGCGCCGCCTACACCATTTGGAGAAAGCAGTCCATGTGGTGTCATAAATATGAGTCGTAGATCCGCGTCGAGAGGCCTGAATGGTTGTGATGACATCCGGTGGAACTTGAGCGTCCGTCAAGAGGAACCGCTCAATCTCCAGACGGCTAGCTGGAAGGACTGTGGATCTGGATGAACTAGCCGTCCTTGTAGCAGCGACACCTGACTGTCGGGAATCCTCCAGGGAGGGGCCACTGACAGGGACACTAGGTCCGCAAACCAAGGATGGTGAGGCCAATGGGGGGCCACCAGTTCTGCCCCCTCTCTGATGAGTTTCCGGACCACCTTGGCTACCAGAGGGAATGGAGGAAAGGCGTAGAGAAGGATTCCTTTTGGCCACGGGCTGCGTAAGACATCGACTGTTTCCGCCCCTGAGCTGGGAAATGGGAAAAGAAACGGGGTAGTTGATGGTTGACTGCTGAGGTGAACAGATCCACCTGAGGATGGCCGAACCTCCTGGAAAGCTCCTGGAATAGACAAGGGTGTAGGCTCCACTTTGCCGGGTCGATTGGATTGCGGCTGAGGGAATCCGCTTGAACATTGGACACCCCCGAAATATGTTCTGCCCGGAGAGAAAT